AGTTGCAACGTAAAAAGAAAGGACGAATCAGAGACTGAGATGAGGGACTGACACACCCCACAGAGAATAAAAGTGGGTGTGTTCGCTCTGAGAACTTGTTCGGGACAACGTGTTAATTTGTGAGAGAAGCTTCAAAAGATTCTGTGTGTGGTGATAGCTTGTGATTTCTGTTCTTGCTTTATTATCGGACTTGGCAGACAGCTTGTGTGAGACTGCCAAGAACTTTCTCGGCTTAAGGAATTTAACCCTGTCATTACTGGACTTGTTTGCTTGTTTATATTCATTTGGAAATTTGGACTTCTCACCTCGTTGGCACAGGTGAGACATAACAATTTCATATCAAAGAAAGCATGTTTTTCCTCCTCTTATCTTAAGAAAAGGGGAGGCATGACTCACGGATGCATTTTAAACAGATCTCCTTCACATGGAAGAATTTGAAGTACTGGCATGAATGTTTGCTAATTCCACTGAGGGAAATTTTTTTTTTTTTTTTTGCTGCTACTTAGAATTCAGAGGCAGCGATTCAACTTCCTCATCGGAGAGGCAAAGGATGATTTGAAAAACCCACATGAGAGCAGTCATGGAAAACTGTGCCAAGGGAGCTATGAAAACCCTCTCTCACAAGAATGCTTCCCATTGATACATCTGCTTGCTAAAAACTGCTTTCCACTTTATAATCAGCAACATTCCTACTGGCCCTTTCTGCAACTATGGCCGGTCTCTTAAGGCTCAGTTTTCAATACTGATCATCTAATTATTTTCTCATTATGCTAATAACTCTGATCTTTAGTCTCTTCTAACTCTAGAGTTCTCTCAAACATCTGCTCATCCAGGGATTTCATCTCAATATTAAGTAAGCCACTACACTAATGTACCTGGATGCAAATTTAATATTTTTTCAGATTAAAATCTGCACCCTACATCAATTTCCAAATGTATAGAAAGGATACATGTGCATTTTATGAATAGTCCATTCATGGCTAAATTATAGGAAAAATATGAATAGTGAACAGGAAAAGATAGAATCCATGATGCATGTGCTTTGAATATAAAAATGCTACATGCTTTGAAGATGCTAATTATCCATATACTTGCATGGTAATATAGACCATATGTAAATATTCCACTGGAATTCTCTTTAATTTTTTCAGCCTTTAGGATCTATCAATATTTGTGCACTTGGCTAGAAGGGGGTGTCAAATTCACAGAGTCACATTGTCATCATGTGATGTATCATGACTTCCTTCCTTTGCTAAACGGAGGGTGGGCGTGGCTAGCAGTTGATGCATCTAGCCCATGGGCCGTGAGTTTGACACCCCTGGGCTAGAGTATTTGCCACTAAAAAGCTAATTTTAGATCAGATAAAATTGTGAATATGTATAGCCTGAATTATAATAAGAAAACCCTAGTACAGGTCACTGCATTTTGCTTCAGTAAATATAGTTCAGCTAGACATGAAGAACAAAGGACCAAACTAGATAATATAGGGGCGATACACACACACACACACACACTCACGCACATGCATGCACACACACACACTATAATTATCAACCCTCAAGTGAACCTGGCTGAGACCATCTTGGAGGCTTCAGGGTTGTCACACAATAGAGGGAGGCGGAAAGTAACTAGATGGGGTTTTGTAGCCAAAACAATAAAACTTTCCCATGGGAACCAAGGACATTCTCAGAGGTGGCTAGCCAGAGGAAGAGTGAAGTAACCAAGCAACCAGCCAGCACCTTGATTGGACAGCATGACCAGTGACTTGTGGGAAAGGGGAAATTTTTAATTAAGTGAAAGCCTTGGGAACTTTTAGAGTTGGCTTTCACCAGTTGTGCAAATATGATGTATCTAATAAAACTGTTCTTTGAGGAATTTGGCTGCCTCAGAGCAGGGATGGGATTCTACCGGTTCTGTCTGGTTCTGTAGAACCAGTAGCTCTGAAGAGCAGCAGACATAGAACTGGTTCTATGTCTGCCACTGTTTTGGCCCACCTGCCCACCTGGGCTCTTACTCAGGGGTAAGATTCAAATTTTTTAACAACCGGTTCTGTGGGCATGGCTTAGTTGGTGGGCGTGGTTTGGTGGTCATGTGATTGGGTGGATGTGGCTTGGTGGCCAAGTTATTGGCTGGGCGTGGCCAACTCAATATCACTCACATCAAGGCATGCATGTCCTCACCTGGCCTCTCATGACTGTGGGGATGCTGCAACAGTCATAAGTGTGAAAAATGGTCATAAATCACTTTTTTCAGTGCCATTGTAATTTGAATGGTCACGCCACACAAGCAAAGTACCAGCAAAGGAGGGGAAAAAAAACTCCAGAGAAGTTCCTGAGACAGGAAGTCTAGTCCTGCCAAGAATGTAATAAGGGTTAACGGAGAGGCAGTTTCTGTAAGCAACACCAGAATGTTTCCTTCCTTCCTTCCTTACAGGATTAGGCCAGTAATTTCTTCTGACAACCAGTTCTCCAAACTGCTTAGAATGTTAACAACCTGTTCTAGCGAATAGGTGCGAACTGGTAGAATTCCACCCCTGCTCTTACCTGACCTTTATTTCCTGCTTTTTCAACCTCAGCTGCTTTGCGCGGCATAGCTGCGGTTGAAAAAGCAGGAAAAAAGTGCTTTTTCAAATGCTGTGCACCTGTGTGCAGCACTGCTCAGCTGTCCAGGTTGCAAGCTGACAACGTTTCACACATGCATGCAAAACGTAAATCACCAAACTGGTAGTTATACCAGTCAGATCCCATCCCTGCCTCAGAGTTCTACTTTCTACAGGTGCATTACTTGGAACACTGACAATAATATAATATAATGTAATGTAATGTAAAGTAATGTAATATAATTCATGAATATTAAAGATATCAGATGAGAAAAAAGAGCAAGGCGATTAAGGAAAACAGGTAAAAAAATTATCTTGCTTTCTGTGTATTTTGCAGATATAAATCACATGAAAACAAAGGTCTGTTATACAGGCTGAAAGTGATAAACTTAATAAAGCTGCAGTACAAGAAATACCTTTTGCTGTTTTTTGAATCCATTTCTGTAGAAAATAATGTTAGCAGAGTCACACAAAAGACTTCCTTGTTTAACAGAATGGTCTGAGAAAAACTTAAACATTCAACACAATAACAAGACATATAAAGCCACCCTGCGCTATGCAGTGACTTGTAACACAGATTACAATCTTAATATGATAAAAAATGATGGCTGCTCAGCATGAGACCTCACGGTGAAGCTGCTGTGGCACAATATATGCTAATATTATAATATATGCATATTTCTAAGGGCAGTTTAGAAAAGAGGCATGAGACAATGCAAAATTTATTCAAGGGCATGATTTACAACTCTATGGGAGATAAGTAAAGCTATGGTTTGAACTTCAAGATGTTCAGGTTTCATTCTGCTTTTTTGTGCCTACTCATCCTTCCAATTTGCTGTTGTTTATTTATTGCAGGCAAGACCCATACAAAAGCAATATACAAAAGGGCTAAGCATAACCATATAAGTACCATCCCAATTAAAATGATAGGAATATTTATGAGGTACATTTAGAAAATATAAACCACACAACAAGAATTTATTACTTAGTTCCATATCCCCTACTTTTGAAATGACTGCTGTTCAGATTACAGGCTTCTGTTATATATGTTATTTTACTGTAGAATCTGACTAATGTATTAATTCCATAAATCAACCCTGCAATCCAAACCCACTAGAAATTAGTCTCTTACATGTTTTTCCAGTACTGCCAAAAATTAGCAATAGACATGATGCCACCTTGGTTGTTGTCCTTTGTGTTATAGAAGTGTTGGCTTACAGTGATAGAACAATAGCACTAACTAACTATTTTGACAGCACAATATCAACAATAGAATAGAATAAGAATAGAATAAGAACAGAATAGAATAACAGAGTTGGAAGGAACCTTGGAGATCTTCTAGTTCAACCACCGGCTCTAAATTCTAAAGCAAGGTCTGTAAATTCAATTTATACTACCATATAAAGTCCTTTTACAGGTTCCAGAGAAGCAATAAACTATCCTTTGTCCATTCACATATTATGCCAATACATGGTCAATCTTTTTATCCACAGAAACCTATATTCACTCCTAAAGAAACCTCTAGAAATCTATATTCACAATCTATATGCACCTCTTTTGCAGTCGTCCCATATAAACACCAGCCCTTGATAGAGCCTTTTTTCTTTCTCTTTTCCAGAAAGCACATTGACATGACTTTACAATTTTGAACCACTGTTTCAAATAGAACTGGGACTAGCCATTGCTGATATCCAGTTCATCTTTAACAAAGTGAATAAAATACAGTTACAATATTGAGATCTGGATGAGGCAAGATCCATGTTTCAAGTTTCCCATGTTAGTGCCAGAAAACATTAGGCAACTTGTCAAAGGATACGGTCCAAAAAGGAAAGATGATTTTAATGATGGTACAATCAAAACTCTATCTCTTTTTAAATCTAACCTCATAATCCAGTGGTTCTCAATCTTTCCTTCACCACGGATTTTCTTTAAATATTTTTTGTAGCTGTGGATCAGGGCCATGGACCCCCCAAGACTTAACTCAAGATTTAAAACATAACATTTCTTCAAGCCTTTGCTGATCCTCTATGATAACATTGTAGTCTCCAAAGGTCTGTGGACCACAGGTTGAGAACCACTGTCATAATCTTCTCTACTGCTGTCCCTTTACTACGCTTTCCAGCTCTCTACCATTGTCTTCTGAACATATACAAGCATGTTTTCTAAAAAAATTCTAGCAAAAAATTGACAATTCCCATCCTTACCTCCAATCAAAATCAGCATGATTCTGTTGAGCTGTTTTATGCTCAACTACCATATAAACCATCCTCAACTTTATTGTTCTTATGGTACCATCGTAATTATGCTCCAATGCATTCAGGTATAAATAAGGGGATATCTTTTCTGGCACAAGCAAAACCAAAAATCTCAGACAACTTTGGTATTCTTCTAACAACAATACCTCTGTGAGAAGACATCTCTGTAGGGGCTTCCATGCTGAAGAGCAATTCCGTATCCTCGATCTGCAATAGTATTTCCAACGGTGTAGAAGGAACAATCTGGATCATTTAGAGCAACGTATTCCAAAACTGCAGCATCCCAAACAAAGGCGTAATTTCCATATTTGACCTGAAATCACAAAAGAAAATAAATGACCCAATTTTGCTTTGAATGTTTTTTTTTGGGAAAAAAAAAAACCCAGTTATGAACCAAAGCAGTAATACCCTTTACAGGCTATTTGAAAGAGTGGGAGGGTTTATAGCATCATTTTCAGTGAAATGAAAATGAAAAATATCCCAGCCAGAAACCTGTTTCATTTATAGGCCAACCTTGTTTCATTAAACCTAAGTGGCCAACAGTAAAGGAAGAGTTAGGCTAGCACAATTCATGCAAAATTGTCCTTGATACTGATTCAGAAGATACAATTAATGCTGAATACAATGGCCAGGTTATTAACTGGCCTGTCAACTATATTAAAATATATACCTGGGTTGCCTCGTTGTGACTAAACCAGGTTCAAAGTCCAAGGTATTATTAGACAAAGTTCTAAACAACTCAATTACACCACCCCACAAGCTACTGCAATCTTCACAGATGCTACCACTTGGGATGATTTATGCAAATGTTAATGGAAGTGGCACCAATTCTGTCAATGATCTTCTCTCTGCTAGCATTCCAGTTCTAATTGGTCATGTGTTTAAGCGTTTTCATGGCTTCCTTTTATTCCTTGACATTGTTTCATAACATCACTGTAACATACTTAGAGAAGACCAGTAAATAATAAGTAGAAACCTCATATTTTAAATAAATAAATATTGAAGTGCACTGTATTGGAAATAATGTTCCATCTAGGTAGTTTAGATATAGACTATAACTATAGACATAGTTTAGATCTCTGGGTCACAAGTGCTGGCAGGAAGTAGGCAACCTTGAGCAATCTAAGCAGCTCTGAACCCGGTTAATGCTTCTGTGGAAGATCCCCAGGGTTGTAGATTAAATTGGAAGACTGAAAAAGACACCCTAGGGAAAGATGCAACCAAATCACTTCCATAGTGTTGCCAAGCAAGTAACATGGATAAGTGAAGGAGAGCCTTATTCAAGGGAGAATCCATTCATTTATTCTATATGTTCATCAAGATGCTATGTCCCGTCCTGAAGACTTAGGTTGTGTTATACCAGGGATGTCAAACTCAAGGCTTGCAGGCCATATCTGGCCTGCGGGATGCTTAGATCTGGCCCACGGGGCTGCCCTGGAAACAGTGAAGGACCGGCCTATGGTGCTTTTTCCAGAGAAAATGGAACACGAGGCCCTCCTGAGCTCTGTTTTTGCTGGCAGAGCACTTGGGCTGCAACAAGTGATGTCTGGCACAAGTGACGTTGAGCTGGCCACACCCACCCTGCCATGCTCACCCTGGTCCCCAAGGTCAAACACAACCCTGATGTGGCCCTCAATGAAATCGAGTTTTACACTCCTGCTTTATATGAAGCAACTATTTATTGTCTTCTCAGCTTCCAACACTTCTAAGTATGTGCTGGAATTCTAAGTTAAGAGAACAATATTTACTTTCAAAGAAAATCCATAATGACAAAACCATATTTTTGAACAACAAAAAATGTTAAAATCTCATCCCCATGTCTATATATCTTGCACAACACAACCCATGTTTTGCCTTCCTTCACATGCACAATACCATTGACGGGGCTGTGGAAATGACATTGTGGTTCGTCACAGATTTCAGCCAACAAGTTTAGACTTGGATTTGGTATTTTTATTTTATTTTATTGACTGAAGATGATTTTGTCAATGCCAATGGTGTTCACGTGGTGCTCCAGTTGTTTTGGGATGATACTCAGGGAACCTGAGTCAGTGCTTGACTTAGGACTACCATTGAGCCCAAAATTTCTGTTGCTAAGCAAGACAGTTATTGAGTTTTGTTTCATTTTGTAACCTTTCCTGCCACAGTCGTTAATTTAATCACGGCACTTGTAGTTAGTAACAGTAACGACACAAGTTAGTAACAGTAATTAAGTGAATCTGGCTTCCCCATTGAGTTTGCTTCTCAGAAAGTTGCAAATGGTGATCACATGACCCTTCAGATTAACAGAGTTGGAAGGGACCTTGTAGGTCATCTAGTCCAACCACCCACCGAAGCAGGAAACCCTACAGCATTTCTAATAAATGGCACTCCAATCTCTTCTTGAAAGCCTCCAGTGATGAATTAATGAGTCTATCATCTGCATCTCTATAACTGTCTGGTTTGGTTCTGCAAGCCAACAGGACAGACACAGATTTCAGAGGATAATTAGGACTGCAAAAAAAATAATTACTGCCAACCTCCATTCCTTTGAGGATCTGTATACTGCACAAGTCAAAAAGAGAGCTGTGAAAATATTTACAGACCCCTCACATCCTGGCCATAAACTGTTTCAACTCCTATCCTCAAAATGACATTACAGAGCACTGTACACCAGAACAACTAGATACAAGAACAGTTTTTTCCCAAAAGCCATCACTCTGCTAAACAAATAATTCCTTCAACATTGTTCAACTATTACAAAGTGTGCACTACTATTATTGTTAATCTTCTCATATCTCCTTATCACCCATCCCTTCCCACTTGTGACTGTAGAACTGTAGCAATGTTGCTTGTATCCTTACAATTTATATTGACTGTTTCCTTGTATAATTTAATTGTTGATTGTACCCTATGACTATCATTAAGTGTTGTACATTATGATTCTTGAATCTTAGTGAATGTATCTTTTCTTTTAGGTATATTGAGAACATTTACACCAAGACAAATTCCTTGTGTGTCCAATCACACTTGGCCAATAAAATATTCTATCTTATCTATCTATCTTATGAAGCTGCCACAACTTCCGAAGGCAACTTCTGTTCCATTGGCTGATTGTTCTCACTCTCATAATATTTCTCCTTATTTCTAGGTTGGGACCATGGGACACTGTAAATGTCATAAAAATACATGCCAGTTTCTAAGCGTCTGAATTTTAATCATATGACCACAAAGGTGCTACAATAGTCAAAGTGCGAATGCTTATAAGTTGAAGACTATCTATACTATTGATAATATCTTTTCTTTCTTTGGCCATACTCATTCCCCTCTATTTGCAGGTCTTTGTTTATTTTTATTTATTTATTTTTATTTGTCAATTGCTTACAAGATAATAGGTATAAGCAAAAACATATGAATACATGGATACATATAAGAAAAATAAAAGAAACAATAGGACAGGGAGATAGGCACGTTGGTGCACTTATGCATGCCCCCTAGAGACCTCTTAAGAAATGGGTGAGGTCAATAGTAGACAGTCTAAGGTTAAAGTTTTTGGGGTTTGGGGAAGAAACCACAGAGTCAGGTAAAGTATTCCAGACATTGACCACTCTGTTGCTGAAGTTGTATTTCTGCAATCAAGTTTGTTGCGGTTCACCTTGAGTTTGTATCTATTGTTTGCTCTTGTGTTGTTATGGTTGAAGCTGAAGTATTCATCGACAGGTAGAACATTGCATATAGAAAGAAGGATAATATGATGTATCTTTAGAGAGAGAAGTTAAAATATATTTGTATTTACGATTGCTGTGACAAATATCAGAAACCACTTTGTTTTCTGTTTTTGTTTAACTTTGTTTCCTTTCTCACACGTTTTGCTTTTTATTTGATTTATTCCCCCCCTGCTTACTACCTATTCGTTTTTTGTTAGTTTTTATCTACTTGTTTAACAGTTTTCTTTTTTCTTTTAAATATAAAGAACAAGTTTATTCTGATGATTTTGTGCTGTTCTAGATGTTCAATTGTTCTTTGTTTCCTTTCTTCATTTTTAGAAGGCTTTGTTCTCTCTGAGGGAGAAAGAGTGCCTGGTTTGATATTACAGATGATTCAATAGCTACGATGGCTTCCTCCACTGCTGATTCCACCAGGTTTGCCTCTATAGTCTGAACTACCTCTAGCAAAGCTTCAATTTCTTTGCCCTGGTAGACCTTTGTCTCTTCCATTTCTGCTTTTGTGAATACTTGATTTCATATTATAAATTGATGTTGATCTACTAGCCTCTGCTCTGTTATTTCTCGATTCTGAATGTAGTTCTTTTTAGAACTGGTACATTCTTTCCAGATATAGAATAGAATAGAATACTTTATTGGCCAAGTGTGATTGGACACACAAGGAATTTGTCTTGGTGTAAACACGCTCAATATACATAAAGAAAAGGTACATTCATTAAGAATCAAGAATCATAATATACAACATTTAATGATAGTCATAGGGTACAATTAACAATCAAATCATACAAGGAAACAGTCAATATAAATCGTACGGATACAAGCAATAAATTTACAGTCCTACAGTCACAAGTGGGAGGGGATGGGTGATAAGGAGTGATGAGAAGATTAACAGTAATAGTAGTGTACACTTTGTAAGTAGTTGAACAGTGTTGAGGGAATTATTTGTTTAGCAGAGTGATGGCTTTGGGGGAAAAACTGTTCTTGTGTCTAGTTGTTCTGGTGTGCAGTGCTCTGTAGTGCTGTTTTGAGGGAAGGAGTTGAAACAGTTTATGTCCGGGATGCGAGGGATTTGTAAATATTTTCACAGCTCTCTTTTTGACTTGAGCAGTATACAGGTTCTCAATTGAAGGCAGGTGGGTAGTAATTGTTTTTTCTGCAGTCCTAATTATCCTCTGAAGTCGGTATCTTTCTTGTTGGGTTGCAGAACCAAACCAGACAGTTATAGAGGTTCAGATGACAGACTCAATAATTCCTCTGTAGAACTGTATCAGCAGCTCCTTGGGCAGTTTGAGCTTTCTGAGTTGGTGCAGAAAGAACATTCTTTGTTGTGCTTTTTTGATGATGTTTTTGATGTAAGGTGTCCATTTTAAGTCAAGTGATATAGTAGAACCTAGAAATTTGAAGGTCTCTACTGTTGATACTGTGTTGTCTAGTATTGTAAGAGGTGGTAGTATGGGAGGGTTTCTTCAAAGGCCACCACCATTTCTACGGTTTTGAGTGTGTTCAGTTCCAGATTGTTCTGGTTACACCATGAGGTAAGTTGTATAACCTCCTGTCTGTATGCAGATTCATCGTTGTCTCGAATGAAACCAATCACTGTTGTGTCATC